ATGCATTTCGTTATTATGACATAAAAGAAATATATGTTTATTTTGCAGTCCGATAGATCTTTCGTACAATAACTTCTCCATGGACCCTGAACAATCCGCTTGTCGGGAAACATTGTAAGAACAATTGTTTTCTTAATTCTTCCTTCAATTTTCAACTATGTCTATCCTTATTTCCTTTTAACTTATATCAAAATTTTAAGAAGTAACTGTTTGTTGTTCTATCAGAAACTTGTTCAAAAGCTCTTTTGGAGGAAAGAATTTGTATGCTCCTACTTACCAAGCTTCAAGTCCTGGCTTTGGGTTTTTTGTTTAACAAAAGTTCCATCCTACTTCACCTAAATTGATTTCTTTTATTATTCTACAATGATACAGACAACTCAGTGGGTGTCGGGACCCCAATCCGTGTACAAAAGGTGATTTTCTCTTCTCTGATCAAAATACTTCATATGCTTAATTATCCTTCCAAGCCTACTTTGATACTTTCCGGCATTTTGTGTTCTGGGGGTGCTCAGCATACCCAGCTGATCACATATCTTTTGTTAATTTGTATATATCTAAGAACCACTAGCATTCAATGTTTCTACGCAGATCGATATTCTTTGGCTATAAATTGTGGTGGGGGAAAAACTACTATAGGAAACATTGATTATGAAGAGGATTATGACCAAGGGGGTGCAGCAAAATATGTTCCCGGGACAAACAATTGGGAAGTTAGTAGCACAGGACAGTTCTGGGATGCGAAGCCTAGTTCAGATGACTATATAGCACATAACAAATCCGTGCTCAGGATGAAAGACTCTGCCTTGTACACAGCAGCACGCGTGTCTCCCCTTTCGCTCACTTATTATGTTCGCTGCTTAGGAAATGGAAACTATACTGCAAAACTTCATTTTGCAGAAATAGTATTCAGAGACAATAGTTCTTTCTACAGTCTTGGAAGGCGGTTATTTGATGTTTATATCCAGGTATTCAGTCGTCTCTACATGCTCTTCCATATGCTGCAACAGTGATTTGATTGAATTAGTTTGTTTCAGGGAAAACGCAGGTTGAAGGATTTTGACATTGAAAGTGCAGCAAAAGGGGTTGACAAGGAATACATTCATGAATTTAAGGAAGTTACTGTGAGCAATAAGACTTTGGAGATCCAATTTTATTGGACCAGTAAAGGGACAACAGCTGTCCCAAAGAGAGCAACATATGGCCCTCTAATATCAGCTATCTCAGTGAAATCGGGTAACTTGCACACCCTTGAAGAAGGCCGTCATTTTCTTCATATGTTGACATCTCTCACTGAGCTTGATATTTTACTGTTTGTGATAGACGTAAAAACTGATGCATGCCCACTTCTCTGAGTACGAATGCATAACTAGTCATTTCATAAAATTGAATCTTGAAGTAAGGTTAAGACAATAAGACTAGATTCTTCACATAGTGCTTTCCATAACAGAAAATTTGAGTTTTCTGTTCACAATGTGAGAACTTATTTTACTAATTTGAAGTGTTGGATTGCTTTAATTATGTATGCCTCCTTGAACTAGCATACAACTTGAATGTGACTGGTTTGTTGCTCTTGTGTAGAGTTTAAACCTCCGAATGATAGACAAAAGAAGATTTTCATTGTGGTTGGAGCTGTAGGTTTGGTTTTACTCCTAGTTCTCATGATTTTGGGTGCTATTTGGTGGAAAGGCTGCTTGTGGGACAGAATATCAAGGGAAGAAGGTGATGTATATCAACCTTGTAAAGTTTATTTTTGGGAAATCAACGGTGTCATTACTGCACTCTTTTATATACTTTCTATGAAAATTTGCAACTGGAAGTAAACAAAGAGGTATAGCTGTGAAGTTATAGAGAGATGAACCTTTCAGATTCTTTTTTTTATTTTTCAGGTATTATGAAACTATACAAGGATTAGAAATGATTTGTTGCAGTCATGATCAATAATGTTCTTGATTACTTATCGTAGAAATTTAGATCATCAGTCCTGTTACCAACATTGTTAAATTAAAATGAAGCTCAAAGTGAACATAAGGTTGCTCAAGTTAATACCATAAAATTGCATGAGGAGGGTGTGGACAGTAGTTTTTTATGTATAATGTATCTTGTACTGTGTGAAGATAGCAAAATAGGACAAACTCCGAATTTGAAGTGACAGATTTAAAGCTTTCATTGCTTCATGAAAGAATAATAATATCTTAGTCAGAATCTTGTAACAAGATCTGTTTTCTGCATAGTCATAACGAGAATCAGTATCTGCAGCTGTTGTGTCTGGTTCTTTCTTCCAGATGTCATCTTCCTGAAGGGCACTAAAACACTAATCCAAATAGCAATGTTATGTCTGTTAGATACAGCTCAGCATATTAACCTTGTTCCTTGAACAGAACTTAGAGGATTAGATCTGAAAACTGGTATATTTACCTTAAGACAAATCAAAGCGGCCACGAACAACTTTGATGCAGCAAACAAACTTGGGGAAGGTGGTTTTGGATCTGTCTACAAGGTGACATACATATAACTCTACTATCATCTTTATTTTTGAACACTCCACCTACTCTTTTCTCCCTCTCCTTTCTTTGTTATCCAGGAGTAATATAAACAAAACTCTCATGATGAGATAAAAATTTAAAAAGTCACTTTTTGTTTCAATGTTTCAATGCAGGGCATATTATTGGATGGTACCACAATTGCGGTTAAGCAGCTGTCTTCAAGATCAAGGCAAGGAAATCGTGAATTTGTGAATGAAATAGGCATGATTTCTGGTCTACAACACCCAAATGTTGTTAGACTATATGGATGTTGTGCTGAGGGAAATCAATTATTGCTGGTATATGAGTACATGGAAAACAATAGTCTTGCACACGCTTTGTTTGGTAAGCTTAAAGTCTGTTCTTCACCATTTGACCTATCCCCATTTGAGAAAGAAAGGAATTAATCACTTCTCAATGACAGGTACGGGGGAAGTGCAACTGATGCTGGATTGGCCAAAAAGGCTGAGGATTTGTATTGGTATTGCAAAAGGTCTGGCTTTCCTGCATGATGAATCTGCACTGAAAATTGTTCACAGGGACATCAAAACTGCTAATGTATTACTTGATAAGGATATAAATCCTAAGATCTCTGACTTTGGGCTAGCCAGGCTCGATGAAGAGGAAAACACCCACATCAGCACCAGAGTTGCTGGAACTATGTGAGTTTCCTTCTTTCTCAATTGTTTCAGTAATTGCAAGATAAATTTCCATCCTTCTGCAATATGAGCATTGAACTGAAAACTTTCAGTTCAGATATCGAGATATTCATTTCTTCTTTTTCTTCTTCTTCTTATGATATATGACATGAGCATATTGAAAAAATATTGGTTTTAATGTTATCCCAGAAGTTGAGTTGCTAGATAACAAGATGAGTGCAGCACCTAAATTCTGAATATACAGAAGTTTAAGATCAGAAAGTAGAGTTAAAGGAATATTCTCTGCTCCTTTATTTGGTAGCAGTAGCTAGTATTCTTAAGATGTACATCAGTACATGGTTGCACCATTTTTTATCAACATATATAGTGATCTCTTTGAAAGGATTACATTTTGAGAATTATACTGCAGTATGCCATTTCCAGAATTGGACTCTGTTCCTGTGCCTGTGTCCTTTGTTTTCAAACAGTATCTCTAATCATGTTAATTTTTAGTCATATCATAAACACGTGCAAAGCTAGCTCATAGAATGGTCGAATTATTTCTGCAGAGGATACATGGCACCAGAATATGCATTATGGGGCTATTTGACCAATAAGGCAGATGTTTACAGTTTTGGGGTAGTTGCACTGGAAATTGTTGCTGGCAAGAACAACATGAAATTTCGGCCAAATGAAAATTATGTATGCCTTCTGGACTGGGTAAGAACAATCTTCATTATCTTCCTTGCAACTAAAAGAAGAATATGTGAAGTGTAGACCAGCTGACTTGCTTTGTCACTTGTCCCTCTATTGTGTGTCACATTGAGCAGAATGTTCTAATGGCTCTCATTCTAGTTTCAAACTGGACATCTTTGCTCATCATTGAGATGAAGCTGAATCCATGCATCTCATCTTTTTCTCCTTTTGTATGTTCATTTTCAGGCTCTTGTGTTACAACAAAAAGGAAATCTTATGGAGCTAGTTGATACAAAATTGGGTTCACAGTTTAACAAAGAAGAAGCAATGAGAATCATAAAGGTAGCTCTGTTATGTACTAATCCATCACCGGCTCTGAGGCCTACAATGTCTACAGTAGTGAGCATGATTGAAGGTCACACTGCTGTTCATGAAGTAAGCGGGGAACCAAGCTTTCATGGTGATGATATGAGGTTTAAGTCCTTTCGAGATTATGATCAAGTTATACTCCAGAGTAGCGAAACTCACTCCATTCCTTTATTAGATTCCATAGTATGAAATCATCTTCTACATCTGCCTATGATCTATAGAAGAACAATTTTAAATTTCAGTCCATCGTGTTGTTGCAAGCAGGTTTTGTAATACATTCAAGTACAATAAACAGAACTGTATCGGAGAATGCTAGTCCATAAATGGAAAGAAGTTATTGGAATGATGTTGTGGTTATTGTATGTTTTCTCTAAAAAAAAACTTGATTTGGTTTAGGTAAGGGCATGTATTAGTTATGAATACTTCTGGTGGTTGACGGTGTTCTTTCAAGCGTGTAAGCATTATATCACTGGATCTATCTGGTCTTAGTGATTGTGTGCACTTTTCTGATCCTATGTGATCAGTTTTTATCAGTAAAATAGATGATTGAGCAAAAATAAATAAATTGAAAGGGTTGTTTCCAAAAACCCAAAATCCCAGCCCTACAGTATGGTAGTAACTTTAAGCAGTTTAGTTTTTTTATTGAGGGTCAGAATCAGTTCCAGTCGATTTAAAGAACACAGGAAGCACAAGGAAGTTATCAGCATGATAGCTAAACGAAAATTCATTACCCTGGGAACGATTATGACATACATGAGGCTACAGAGCTCGTCAAGTTATAATCACTCCTAGCAGACTAGTTTTTTCAAATACAAAACTTTAATTATTAGGTTATGCTACATATTGGAAACAGTTCACTAAGGTAGTACAAAACAAGCAAGAAAAAAAACGAATACGAATATATAACAGATGCAAGTATGTCGGACTTGAAATGTAATATGCAAGTTACTTCGCACCAATTCAGACGTTATTAAGTGGTGATCTTCCAGTCTCATCAGTGACCTCTGGGGTGTAATCAGCAGAGATATGCACTTCTTCCTCCTTAATGCTAAATTCGTAACTTGCAGGGTTAGATGGCTCTTCCCTGGACATGCTCCTGGAATAGTTGGAAAATGAACGGCTAGCCATGGCCTTGGCCCGTGCGAAACCATCAGCTGAATAGGGGGCATGGGATGGAGTATAATTAAGCCGACTTTTTCCCTTCAAAACTTTGACCACCTCAGACATACTAGGCCTAAGTGTAGGTGATGGGTTAGTGCAAAGCATTGCTAATTCTAGAATCATTTTTGCTTCTTTTGCTGCGTACTCAGATCCCAGAATTGGATCAACCAGAGCTAAAAGGTCCCCCTTCTCTTGCAGGACATAAGCCTGCAGAGTTAAACACCAAGGTCGTTCGTTCAGTTTCAAGACAAACGGGAATGTAGTACTTCAAGGTGAAGAAAGTTATGTACAGCACTTACCAAATCTAGAAGGTAAACACTCTCATCATTTGGCCTGTAACTGGCACTATTCTGCCCACTGACAATTTCAAGCAAGACTACTCCAAAGCTGTAAACATCTGCTTTACTGGTCAGATGACCTCGCATGGCATACTCAGGAGCCATGTATCCCCTATAAGAATAAAAAAAAAAATTGTAAAAAGTTATGGTCAATCAGTTCTGAAATTCATTTTTCTGAAGGCATAACAGTTGAATAAAATGGTTTTCTATTCATTACGTGGTTCCCGCTATCTTTGTAATGACATGTGTCTTCTCCCCTTCATGAAGCTTGGCAAATCCGAAATCAGATATTTTTGCAGTAAAATCCTTATCAAGAAGGATGTTGGTTGTCTTGATATCTCTGTGAATAATTTTTAGTTTGGATTCTTCATGGAGAAATGCCAATCCTTTAGCTATCCCACGGCAAATTTTAGACCTGATTGTCCAGTTAAGTTGTACTCTGAGTTCTTCAGGACCTGTTTGGTGACATGGTATGCTATTAGTATGTTGAAAACTTCATATGAAATTGTATCAATTTGTTCAAATAATTGTTAGGAATAGGAGCAGGCTTACCAAATAGTGCATGTGCAAGGGAATTATTTTCCATGTACTCATAGACTAGAAGCAGTTGGTTTTCATCTATGCAGCACCCCAGTAGTTTTACTAGATTTGGGTGTTGCAAAGCAGAGATAACACCCACTTCATTGACAAATTCACGACTGCCTTGCTTTGATTTTGCAGAAAGCTGTTTTACAGCTATTGCTGTCCCATTGGGAAGCACCCCCTGTATTTGTGCCAAAATCAGAGCTTTCTCAAAAAAATTATGTTGACAGCTTGATAGTTTATGCTTATCATAAGGCAGCAAGAAAAAGGGGACTATACCTTGAAAACAGCTCCGAAGCCTCCTTCACCTATCTTGTTTGCATTGTTAAAATTTTGTGTGGCAACTTTTAGTTGCCGATAAGTGAAAAGTCCTCCACCAGGCAATGAGATGAGTTCTTTTTGTGCTGTTGACAGTGTTGCAAACAAATAAGAACCACATCAGTAACATAATTTAGTAGCCAAACCCCACTTATTTATAAATCATATAGTCTTACCTTCAATTTTTGATTCCTTGCCACGAAGGTAACCCATTTTCCAGAGGAAAGCAAAAATCAGAATCAAGAACAAAACAATGGATCCTGAAATCCCAGCAATACTTAAAGGAGAAAGTTTTATGGAAGGCTTTACTGGTTTAAGAACTGCATTCAAAAACATGAAGTTGATAATTGTTAAAAATTAATGAGGACAAAGGAAAAGAAAAGCAGACTAGCTAGCATGAAGAGGTGTGCTGGGAGGGGAGTATACCAGGCTCTACTGAAATAGCTGAAACAAGAGGACCATAAAGCTCAAAGGGACCACGTTTTGAGCCTTTTCCTGCCCAATATAAGTGAATTTCAAGACTGTTTTCCTTGACTTCAGCTTGAAACGTCTGAGAAATATTCTCATTTAGACCTCCAGCAACATCTTTAATATTGAAATCAGTTAAGACCTTCGTACCCTGCAGTCCCAGTCAGCCATGATAAAAACAACTAATGCAGCTAGCAGGAAAAGAGTTCTTTTTTGATTAATTTATGATAAGAAAGTCACCTGAATTAAGACATCAAAAAGGCGATTTCCCCTGCTTTTATGTTCAGCTTCCTCTTTAATTGTGATTTCAGCAAAATCAAGTTTTACTGTATACAAGCCATTTTTCATGCAGAATCCAAAATACTTCAAAGATATTGGAGCAACACGAGCTGTCTGGTATAATGATGCCTCATTGTTTTGAAATGGACACTTATCAATCGAGTGTGCGTAACTCATGGACCTGCTTTGCGCAGGGTCATAAATTCCCATGCTACTGTACCCCCATTTCTTGTCATCGCTGATATAGAATGTCGAAGCTCCTTCTGGTTGCGCATCTCGTTCAAACGTGTGTCTGCCTGCTGTTACCTTATCACCTCCACAATTGATATACAACCGATCATCTGCAACCAAATTTTTGTTACGGTTAACACACCATAATACACCTTGCGTTTCAAACACTGTGAAACTCATGTCAATGGCAGTGGCCTACTGGTACCTTCCTCTTGAAGGAAGTAAAATATATGCAAAAGGTAAGGTTTGAACTTTCTAATTCATTCTCAAAGTAAAGGTTTCAATATTCTTACAGGCTTAAGCTCTGATGGATTCATATTGACATTAAAACAGCTATGAAATGGAATACTAGTAATTCTAACATAGCAAAAAAATTACCAATTTGAAAACAGATAGGCTACTCACTTTCCGGTTGGTCTTCATCACAGAAGAAATTATTCTTTTGCCATGTACTATCGCTTTAAAATAGAAAAACTGGGTTAGAACTAGAATACACAGCTAAGATATGTACAATTGCTTGTGCAGGAAATGTAGAAAGCCAAACAAGTCGATAACACAAGGGAGAAAGAAGCAATGAAGGTAGAGCTTACAACTCAGGTGAGGAAGAGCAGCATGCAAATGAATTCCTGAAAATTTCATGCATGGGAGAAAAAGTATTAATTACTAGAGAAGCTAGAAAGTAAAGGGTATTTCATTTGTTTTTTTTCAATTTGCCTTACGTATTCCTGGATTTGTAGTTTACTACAGATGATGAATATGTAAAATTGTTCTCGGAGAAATCCCTGTACAACATCACACTTAAAATAATTAAAGACAGAATGGTTGCTAAAAATAGAATTACGCAAGGTTTAAGTAAAAGTGAAATTGGACTCACAGATTTGCTTCTGTTAAGTTTGCAAACCATTTAGGAATTGAACCTGTCAGTTTGTTTGCTCGAAGAAATCTGATAAAAGGGTAAAAGAACATCAACCACACAAATAATATAATTGCCTCTAGAGGAGAAAACACTGAATCATTACATAAAAGCAAATTGTTATTCTTTAAACTCATTAAAGTAAGTTTCATATCAAAACAAACAGAGTATTAATATGTTGTTAATACAAATCTAAAACAAGTTTTCTTACATATTTGTCAAGTTCCCATACTCGGAGAAATATGGGACTTCACCACTCAGTTTGTTGTAGCTCAAGTCCCTACATTAAAATATTAAAATAAACAGGAAACAAGAGAGAAAAGAATCAGAAAAATCAGAGAATGTAATACTTGCTTATTGCTGATATGTATTGCAATGAACCCTGTTCTCATGTAACACTATTACTGCAAGTGCCGAAAAAAAGGTGAGAGCAATTAACGGTTGAATTTCATTTCTGTATGGGAAAGGGGATGTCTCTGTCACACTCGTTTATAATATTTCCATATCTACTTCAATTAGCAGAGTCTCCTAATCATATGATTGTTGCAGGACTCCTCTTTGCCTGTTAAGATTTCTTTATGTATAAAGCAATGTGAAAATTGTTGATTACTTCCCGGACTTAGTAAATAGCATGTTGTAGAGTAATAGCCTTACAGATGGTTCAGGGCTTGGAGCTCTCCAATATATGATGGGATTGAAGCATTGATTGAACAGTTTCTCAGGACCCTAAAGAAAGGCTAAGGATCAGTATTGAGATTAAGTTGACATGAAAAAACTTTTGTCCTGATAAAAGATTAAACAAATATTTCAGAAATAACACTAACAAAGTTTCAAGTTGTCTCATTCTTGAAATATTTGGAAATGGGAAAACTTCTCCATTTCTTCCATACAAGTCAGCAATGCGCCTGGAAAGTCAACACCAAACAGGTTATCAGAGGTTAGAAACAATGATATGATTAGTTCAATTCGAATTCTTAAAATCAATCCAGCTGCAGTAAGAGGCATTACATCTCCATGATATTCTCCAGGGAGGAGAATGTACCAGGTAAAGGCCCTTCAAAATGGTTCCCTTGAAGTATCCTGTTCAGACCAAAATGTTCTAGGTAAATATAATCTGATCAAAGTTCAGAACATTCATTTCTCATAGAATATGTAATAATTTAACAGAGGTGCTTACAGGACTTGCAACTGCTTCCAGTATCCAATATATGGCGGTATCTGGCCAATGAATTCATTCCCCCTAACGTTGCTGTAGATGGAAAAACCAATAATCAAAGATGTTGTTTGAAGCGAGATAAACAACATGAAAGAGGAAAACTTTTCCTTACAAGTGCCTTAAGCTTGTAAGATTTGCAAAACTTTGAGGCAACTGTCCTTGAAGTTTGTTGTTTGCCACCACCCTGCAGTTATATATAGCGCAAGTCAACAAATAGTCATGCCAGTAAAGTAGTCAAATTCAACAGAAATCAGTTTCAATCCAAACCTGGGGATAAAGAAAAGAAGGAAAAAAGGAAAAACCTTACATGCGATAGACATTCTGCAAGTTTCCAAGAGATTTCGGAAGCGGCCCTTTTAACTGGTTATCAGATAACCGCCTGAACTAGCAAGTTAAAAACAAGATAGCGCAATCGTAAGTGTACATAAGACCAAGAAGCAGAAAAATGGGAGCTCAGTGACAGTGATGGCAAAGGCTCTTACAGGAACTCAAGGCTTGAAATGTTTCCTAAAGTCTCAGGAATAGTTCCAGTTAGTAGGTTCTCTGCAAAGTCCCTGCAAACAAACAGCAAATGAGTGCATTAAAAATGGGATTTGCAGAATTAGGATAGATCGATTTTAGGGTAGGATATATGGCTTACAAAGTTTTAATAGATGCTGAGGAGCCCAGTTTTGGTGGTATTGATTCCTTTAGCCAGTTTTTTGCTAGAATACTTCAACAAAAATACCATGAAAGAGAAAAGATCAGTAAAGAAAATGTCAAAAGTTTCAATTAATTTCCATTTGGATTACAAATGGCCAACTTCTTAAAAAAAATCACAACGCAATTTATAAAGGCAAAGTTGAGGAATCATATGGTAAATATTTGTGGGAGAATTCTGGACTCACATGGTACGTAGTGATTCCATTTCCCCAAAGAAGTCTGGTATACGCCCATCCAGATCATTTGAAGAAAGATCACTGTCATAAAGGATTGTGAACTTCGGAGTTTATATCACAAACAAACCTAAAACAGAACTCAATATAACGAGCTATACTAGTAGCTACCAGACGGTTAATGGGATGTTAATGCGAAAGCAACTCACAGGTTTTCAAGTTTAGTCAGATTTCTTAACGAGTCAGGAATGTTTCCATGGATCCTGTTTGAACTCAAGTCGCTGAAAACGCAGCAGAAAACAAAATGATGAAGAAGAAACTGAAGTCAAATCATTAAATTTCCATTTCACTTTTCTGCTACTGCTACCGATATAGAGCAGACCCTTTTCTCTAACATTGTCAAGCATGTCTCTTCTCATTATTTACCCAAATGAAGTTATCTCGACACTGGCATGCCTATGACTATATATAGATCAGATTTGGTCAAACAACATGCTAGAATCCTTCGGTTTGAGACAAAACAACACCAGTGATTTTCTTGTTGGATCAAACATATCAATAGTTTTGATGTTGATCAGATAATTGTCTTTATGCTTATCTTGGCAGAGCAAGAAAATCTTTTTAGGTTGTCTTGAAAGACAACACCAAAAGTTTGTGCTTGGAAACAAAAAAAAAAATTTTGACTTTTGTGTTTTGTGCAGCATTCAAGACAGACAGCAAAGGTAGAAAGTCATGGGAACTAATTTGGAGAATACGCATTAAATATCAGTTGTTTGTACTTGGTAGTCATTGGAATCAATGAAGGTCATAATGTTATGTCGTTTTAAAAATTCAATAATAGTATACGAAATAAGATATAATCTTTTAAAAAGATTTATGAATTATTTATAAAAAATTAATTATATTTTTTTTATTATATAATTCGGGGAAAAAAAAACTTACAGCGATGTCAGGTAGGTCAAATTTCCTATAGCCGGAGGAATTTCACCCTTTAGATGCGTGTTAGAAAAATCACTGCCAATGAAAAACAAGTAATAAATTACTTCCATAATTAACCAAAGACCAGGCATAGACCTGGCAAAAAACCCATTATATCATTTTTTTTCTATATTAATATTGGAAGAAGAAACATTCATGATATAACATGGGTGGACCCAGGTTAGAAGGAGTGGTCTTAAAATATTTTAATTTTTATATAATTTATCTATCATTCAGAGTAGTTAATATATTAATGAATTTATTATTTTGTTATAATTTCACTAAGAGTGGGATCATAGATTTTAAGTAAAAGTAATTTATCAAAAAGTAATCTATTTTAATATTTAAATACTATACGAAAAGATAAAAAAAATTTCTATAATTTTAGATTTTATTAAAAAATAAAAACCTAAACTACTTCTTTTTTAAAAATTCAAGTCCTTTTCTTTCTTGTTTTTTGACTGTGCTTTTCACTCATTCAAAACAACTCATCTAGACTTTAATTGTAAGTAATTTTTAATTCAAATTAAGTTGTTAAACACTTCATGTCTAAATATTTTTTAGATTAGTTTGATAATTTTGATTCATAATTATAATATAACTAATAAAGTAGTATTATATGTCAAATAATATTTTAAAATTGTGAGTTTTTTTTGATTATTTTGTAGATATATTATTTGATTATTTGATTTTTATATTTCACTTTATATGGTTTGTTGATGCTTATATTTAGTTTTGATCAGTGAATAGAAAATTATCATATTGTTAGTTGCTGAACCTTAATTATAATTTGTTATGTAAAATCATATTTTATTTAATTTTAATATTTTAATGTATACTAATAAATAGTAATTTTTAACAAGTTTTATAATTTTAGACAAATAAGCCATAGAAAGATTTTTTTTTTTTAAAAAAAGAAATTATCTCATAAGACTCAAAATCCAAACAATAACAACAACAACAAAATTCTATTAATGATGATATTCAACGATATTTTTTAAGTAACATCATGTTGAATTTAATTTAAGTACTTTTTGAATAGACCCTAATCGAGAAAAATATTTTTTTAAATATCACGATATTACTAAAAAAAAAAGACTTTTTGAATTCGACCTTGTATTAAGAATATAAATTTTTTTAATAAAATGAAGAGGTTTCCTTACATTTTTGTGACTCGACAAGGGGTAAGATTGCAATCGCAGATGACCTTCCTAGAGGAATCACAATTGCTACTTGAGAATTCTGTCTCATCGCTTTCCCAAGTCAACCTCAGAGCATGAGCAATACTATTGATAGCGTTCACTAGCATATATATATGGCCAACAATAACCATGTTAGTCCATAGAGTAGAATAAGCTTATGCGATGATATTATTGTAAAGTTGAGATCTCATAATTAACAGCTACTCTAAACCGAAATGTTTTGCCAAAAGTAGGAAAATAGTTAGTAGAAGCATACTATATAAGTTTTTCATAAACTCTAGGTTGAGATCTTAGTGCGCATGAATGAATTAATATTCAAATGCTACTAATTACTACTAAAAGATTCTTACACTTGATGAGGTAATCGTAAGGACCCAGCATGCTAATTGGACTTAATGAATTTGACTATGGCAATTTGATTTAGATATTAAAACTAAATAATTAAAGCATATAGCATATAGATATATGTGGAATATGAAGATATTGTGCTTTGTGAAGTAAATTAATTAAATTATAGAATTTCAACGCGAAATGAGACTAAGAGAGTGGTATGATTGAAGAATAGTTAAGAATTCTAGAATTATTTACTATCAAGATTTAAATTAAATTCATAATAACATAATGGTAACTTTATTACCACCTAACATAAGGATGAGAGAGAGAGTCATTAGAATTCAAGATTTAGATAAAAATTCCTAGAACCTAATCATAATGCCTAACCATTTAAATTAAATTCATAGTAACTTCATAAAAGAACTTGAGTACAAATCTTGTACCTCTTTACTTAACTATACGTAAAAATTAAAACAAGAAAACAAAAAAGAAAAGCTCATGCACTAATTTATTGTAACTCTTTCAATATCAATGTCTATATATCATCATATTGTTCTAACCTAGTACATATTAGGAGCTACTACACTAAGATAAGGCTACAACATGGAAATCCCACGCATAAAAAAGAAACGTCTTGTCAACTTATAGAACCTAGATATGGCTTTAACAGAATTACCATCAACCGGGTCTAGATCAACTGTATTTTGATTGCTAGCTTGGTGCATGTGTTGAGCTTCATGGCCTACTGCCAGAAGCAGAATCAAAGCAACAGAAATTAACAGCTTTCCTCTACACATTTTTAACTAGACTCTGTATCTCTCTCTCTTTCTCACCCTGGTTTCCATGGCGTTGCATGAACTAGCTATATATATACTAATTCCAATAGCAAGAGCCCCCTTCTACAGGGAACAAGAGATTCCAACTTGTCTATATTTCAAGATTAAAATAACTAGCACCGACGACTCATCAAGAAATCCTTAAAATGGAAAACACATTGCCCATCTAAAGCCAATAAATGGGTCAACTTGATCAACACTAAAATCCCATAAATATTATTTGCACTAGCTAAGCTCAAGCCATTGCTTCGACTTTGTGACACGCTAGCATAATATCCTCCCACCATCTCATTCTTATGCCACACATTTGATTCCTTCAAAATTACTTTGAACCTCTAATCTTATTCCTGATTAAATGTTGAATTTTAAATAAATTGCAAATAATGAAAAAGTAAAGGTTATAAGTTAATTAGTTTGGTAGTCACTAGTCATATCATCCCTTTTCCCAATTGGCAAGTCTTAAAATCTTAAATCTCCTTCATCTCCCCAACATTCTATAGGTATTAGACTCTAGAGTCAATCACACCGCGTAAAAGAGATTGAAGTTTAGTATAAATAAAGCAAATGATTTATATAATAACAAGGGAAAAATGAACTTTTGTGGACTGTGCCACGTGCATTTTCAATGTCAATCTTCTATGTATTAGTGGCAAAGGATATTTGGTACACGTAAGCCAACATGAGACACATGATGTTAGAGAAACTAGTAAAGGTTGAAGAATGTATAGGAAAGGAAATGATGAAGAAATTGATGATTCCGAGTGTGGCTAAAATTGTTGACCAGTTAGATTTCCTAGAATATAAAGCGCTTCTTTGAGGTCAACTTGTAATCGATGCTCCATTTCACCGTTATGCTTTGGAGCAATCATGTTAGACATAATGAGAAGTTGTCACTTAAGTTTGCAGTGGTTGGAGGCTTTGGGGCTAGGTGGAACTTGGTGGATGTATTGGGAAATGATAGTGCGCATGCAGGGAGTGAAACACTTGGGAAGACCACAGGCCTTTCTGGGTCAAGTGATCATCCCGATTAACCCAATTCTTACAAATGCAAGAAAAACTTTAAGAATTTAATTACACAATTTCATGGAGTTGAATAAATTACATACATTACTAATAGTTATATATTTTTAATTATTGTTAAAGGAGAAAAAATGTAGTAAAAATTTCAAAATTTTTATTACAGAAAACTATATGCTACATTAAATAAATATAATCAAAAGTTCAAATTTATTATAGTGAATTTTTAAAAATAAGAAAAGTGTCTTTTATTATATAACAAAAAAATATGATAAACAAATTACAAATTATTTACTGAAATCAAATGGATTTCACGTGTAGCAAGACATTTTCCGATTGACGTTGCATATGTGGAAAATTGAGGTTGAATGACAACAAAAGATGGCTCTTTTCGTGTAATGGATTGATGTTTGTGACGTCTACTAGTAAAATAGGCAATCAACTACCAAAGCATATAGCAAAAGGAGGTAATTGTACTTGTGCATCATGCAGAAATGCCAAACTTCATATAAAATAATTATAATATGACAGATAGTGCTGGCTTTCATGCTACACGTGTATAGATGAAGTGATATTAAAAAAGTATAAGAATTAAACCACACTAGAAGATTACTTACACGTTTGTAAAATTTTATAGATAATTGATTTTAAAAATTTATATATAAGTTTAAAATTCGTAGAAGATAGACGTAATTATATATTAAACTTAAGCTGTTTCTATTACTTTAAGTTATTTCAGTATTTGTATGCTGTGTGTAATGTTTGTTTATAATCACTTGAGAAGTTAATTAACAAAAAAATCAAGTTTCAAAATAAAAAATTTAACTCTATTAATTCAATTTACATGAATTTCACGATATTGAAGACAACAAAAAGAATTTTTTTTAAAGCTTGTTTAAAGTAATATTTTTTTGTTGTTTCCACTTTCCTTTTACTATTTGTTTTGTGGTTGTTTTTAAAATAAGATGAAGTAAAATAAGTGAAAGAAAGAAGGGGAGGAAAGGCATAAAAACATGAGATTTTGATTAGAGGAAGTGGTGGTTGTTTTTAAAAGGAAATCTTGGGAATTGAGTGATAAGAAAAATGTAAAATAAAATACCATTTCATTAAAATTGAAAAAAAAATCCTAATTATGTGTGAGGAGTGACCGTGAGGTATAGATAATAGT